GGTTGAGATGGGAGTCTTACTCTGCCACCCAGGCTGGAGGACAGTAGCATGATCTTGGCCCACTGCTACTTCTGCCTCCTGGCTTCAAGTGATTCTTGTACCTCAGTCTTCTGAGTAGGTAGGACTACAGGCATGTGCCATCCTGCTCAGCTAATTTTTTGTATTTTTGGCAGACATGGGGCTTCACCATGTTGGCCAGGCTGATCCCAACCTCCTGTTCTCACCCGATCCACAACCTTCGGCCTCTTTAAAGTGCTGGGATTACAGGTATGAGCCATCACACGTAGTGAGTTTCTTACTCTTGAGTTTTAATTTGATTTCACTGTAGTCTGAGAGACTATTTGTTATGATTTCAATTCTTTTGCATTTGTGAGAAGTGTTTTACTTCCAATTATGTCAATTTTAGAGTAAGTGCCATGTGGAACTTAGAAGAATGTGTATTGTGGTGTTTGTGGCTGTAGAGTTCTGTAGCTATCTGTCAGGTCCACTTGACCCACAGCTGAGTTCAAGTTCTGAATATTCTTGTTACTTTCTGTCTCATTGATCTCTTTAATATTAACAATGAGGTGTTAAAGTCGCTCACTATTATGTGGAAGTTCAAGTTCTGAATATTCTTGTTACTTTCTGTCTCATTGATCTCTTTAATATTAACAATGAGGTGTTAAAGTCGCTCACTATTATTATGTGGAAGTCTAAGTCTTTTTGTAGGTCTCTAAGAATGTGTTTTATGAATCTGGGTGCTCCTTGCTCTTTAAAGTTTGTTTTGTCAGAAACTACGATTGCAACCCTTTTTTCTGCTTCTATTTCCTTTGTAAATTTTCCTCCATGTTTTTACTTTGAGCCTACTTTTCTTTTCAGTCAAATGGGTCTCTTGAATACAGCACACAAATGGGTCATGACTCTTTATGCAGTGTGCCCTTCTGTGTCTTTCAATTGAGGCATTTAGCCTATTATAATTAAGGCTAATATTGTTATGTGTGATTTTGAGTCTGTCCAAGGGATGTTAGCTGCTTATTTTACATAATTGTTGATGTGGTTGTTTTATACCATCATTGATCTTTGTACTTCAGTGTGTTTTTGTACCAGCAATGGCTGGTAATGGTTTTTTCTTCCCATATTTAGTGCTTCTTTCAGGAGCCCTAGCAAGGCATGCCTGGTGGTAATGTATTCTTTCAGCATTTGCTTGTCTAAAAAGAATTTTATTTTTCTTCACTTATGAAGACTTAGAAATCTTTTATTTGCTTCTTGTATCTTTGTTCTTCATTTTCTATTTTTCTGTGTTTGTGTCTTTTTTATACTTATCTTGATATGCTTTTAGTTCTTTATCTGCATAGATATATATTCGTGATGATACCTGGGGGATTACATAAAACCTCTAAAAGAGACAACAATGTATTTTAATCTGGTAAAAAATGAACTTCAGTTGCATTCAAAAATTTTTTCTCCTAATTATGTATGTCATATATTCACTAACAAATACTTATAATGATTTCTATGCTTTTACTTTTCAAATTTTAGAGGATTTTTTTTTTTTTTTTTTTTTTTTTTTCATGATGCTTACATTCTGTTGCCTAGGCTGGAGTGCAATGGCATGATCTCAACTCACTACAGTCTCTGACTCCCGGGTTCAAGCAATACCTTTCAAATTTTAGAAATGTTTTTTGCATCGTTATTACAATGCTAAGAAGTTTTATTTTTGTGTATGTGCATTTCTTTCCCA